GAAATGATGGTGGTGGTGGTGATGATGGTGATGGTTGTAGTAATGGTAATAATGGTGATGGTAGAGGTGGGCGTAGTGGGTGTAGTGATAATGATTATGGTGATGGTGGTGAAGAGGAGAAATGGGAGGAAGGTTGATTGGGCCATGAGGTAATGAGGCAGAGAATGGGGAAGCTTCTAAGAAATACAGAGCCAGCTGGCAAGTGCCGGGTATCCTTGGAGAGTGTGGAAGCTACCGAGATCCATTCCTTATTTCTAGACGTTTCAAGGAAGCTCACTCTGCATAGGAGTTCTAGGAACCTCTCCATCCATCTTTCCCTTCGTCCCAGCATGATGGAGTTTTCTGGGGCTGACAAGTGTCTTTTACTCATCACGCTCTGTAGGAAGAGACAAAAGGAGTTGCTGTTTACGACCCTGTTATAACACAGTGGGGTCTTGTCAAATATTTGTTGAACAAATTTTCAGTTGAGGAGAGCAAGACTCGAAGAGGTCAAATAATTTCATCTTCAGTAGCATGAACTACGGTTTACTGAGCAGCTACTATGTGCCCAGCATTGTGCCAGGGGCTTCCTTCTACATTATCTCATGGGATCTTCACGGCAACCCTAGGAGACAGGTATCTCCAGCCCCACTTAAAGAAATTGTGGTAAAATATGCATAACATAAAATTTACCGTCCTAACCATTTTTAAGTGTACAGTTTTTTAAAATACATACATTTTTAATTTTTTAGTCATCTCTATACCAATATGAGGCTCATACCCGCAACTCCCAGATCAAGAGTCACGCGCTCCCCCAGCTGAGCGAGCAGGGTGCCCCTACAGTTCAGTAGTGTTAATTAAATGCACACTGTTGTGCACATCTCCAGAAGTCTTTTCATCTTGCCAAACTGAAACTTACTACCCATTAAGCGGAAACTTCCCACCCCTCTCCCTCCAGTCTGTGGCAACCACCATTCTACTCTGCCTATGAATTTGACTATTGTGGGAATCTCATGGAACTGGACTCCTACAGCATCTGTCTCTTTGTTACTAGCTTATTTCTTCAAGGCTCGTTCATGCCGTAGCATGTGTCCGAGCTGCCCGACTTTCTAAGGCTGAATAATGACCCATTGTGTATGTGCCATATTTTCTTGATCCATTCATCTGCTGTTGGACACTTGGGTTCTTTCCACCTTGTGGCTGTTGTGAACAGTGCCTGCCAATATCTCTTTGAGGTTAGCCCCTTTTATAGAGAGGCACATAGAGGCTCTGAGCAGAGAGAAGACCTGCCCAAGGAAGGAATCTTCCACAGTCTCCCAGACCCCAAAAGCAGGGCTTCCCTGTCTCATCCCACTGACTCCTTTATGACCTGCCTCCCCTCTGGCACCAAGTCCCCGCCCCACGTGCTGCACTTGCAGAGACCTCCTGATCCCTGAATGTTCCAGTACGGGGACCAGTGGGTGCATTTACAGCCATTCACCTCCCTGCCCCCCCCCACAACCTCTGTGCCAAGAAATACATGACACTCGCTCACCAGATATGGATGAAGCCCCTAGGCTGTGCCAGGCACCTTCTGGGCACCGGACAAGTAGCCTGGGAAGTGACAAGATACCCGCGCTCTGGGGCAGGGATGTTTGGCTCATTTGCTCAGTGCTGCCCCCTAGTGCCTGGAAGACTGCCTGGCACACAGCTGGTGCCCGGTAAATGTCTGTTGGGTGAAGAGCCCCAGATGCCTCCACCCCCTGGAGTTGGGCCCTGAGCAGGCCCCTATGCTGTCACACGGAGGCCCGCCCCGGTCAGGATGGCTGTGGGAGCCACAGAGAAGCCTTCTTTCCTTTGTCCTGCAGATCACCTTCATACCCGCTGACTCTGACTTCCAAGGCATCCTGTCCCCAAAGGCGCTGGGCCTGCTGGAGAATGGGCTCGCTGCTGAGATGAAGAGGTAGGTGTCAGGCTCTCCAGGACAGGGGTGGAGCAGGGGGAGCCACTCAGGCCAGTCTCCTCTTTCAGTGGAGGGTGATGGAGTGGCGTGGGGGGTGTCCGTCTGCTGGGTCCAGCTTCCTGCTTTGGCCCCTCGCTTACTGAGAGCATGCTGTTTGAAATCACGGCTTGTTTTGAGCCCTCAGTTCTATGAGGGAGGCATTATTATCCCCCATTTTAAAGATTAGGGAACTGAGGCTCAGGGACTTTGTCCTGTCTGAGGGCGAATTCGTGGCTGACCCAAATAAAAAACAGGTGTAGCCCTAAATCCCAAACAGCTGTGACATCTCCTATGGCAAACAAGGGGCATGTGGACAGCCAGACACAGCCCTGTGGCTCTCCATTTACTGGCTGTGGGATTTGGGGAATGCAACGTGCCTCTCTTTGCCCCATCTGCAAAATAGGGGTACTAATCACACCTTTCTACCAGGGCTTCAGGGAGGGGTGAGAGAGTTAATGTAAGGAAGCACTAAGAACAGAACCTGGTGCGTGGTGGGCCCTCTCTCACTGTGCCTTCATTAGCAAGACATGTTTTCTATCAACCTGAGATCAAAGCAAACAGTTGGCACTCATTACTTCCTCCAGTCCTCATAGGAACCCTGGGAAGTGGGGCTGTCGAGCCCTTTACAAGAGCAGAAAACTGAGGCTCAGGAAGCACAATCGTAGGGTGCATGGGTAGCTCAGTCAGTTAAGCATCTGACTCTTGATTTCAGCTCAGGTCACGATCCCAGGTTCATGAGATCGATCCCCGCCTCTAGCTCTGCGCTGGGCATGGAGCCTGCTTGGGATTCTCTCCCTCTCCCCCTTACCCTCTCTTTCTCTCTCTCTAAAACAAAACAAACAAGCAAACAAACAAAAAAAGAAGTATAATCACAGGCCTCAAACCTCCCAGGGAGCCACAGACGGACCAGACCAGACTTGCCTCCGTGGAGGTGCCAGGCCTGGCTCCCCGGGACACAGCAGCGAGCACTCCCACCCTCCCACCCTCCACACCCCCTGGAGGCTGTGACTCTGCACTCAGAAGGCCAGGTTGCAGGTCCAGGGTCTGTGGCCAGGGCTCTGGAACTCTCTGCTTTGCTTGCAGAAAAAGGCAGTGATGCTATTTTCTGTTCCTGGCGTACAGAGTGACCACATGTCCCCAGGGGAGTGAGGTGGCTAGACCCTGGGTGGGCATAGAATGGTCACACAGGACGAGCCACTGTACGGAGCTGAGCCCTGGGCTCCTCCTGTGTGATCGTGGGCAAGGGATCTAGTCTCTGCGCCTCACTTCCTGGAGGGGCTGTAGAGCACATAGGGAAGGGGACGGGATGGGACGTCTGGAGCCGCAGCACTGTAACCTGGTGTTTGAGGCGCTAGGGGTGACCCAGCCCAAGTCTCCATGCTTCCCTGCTCCCAGGTAAGGTGGGGATTCGAGGGGCCCCCTGACACAGCCTGAGGCAAGGAGCACGCACTAACCGGGCTGTTGCTGCTGCTGCATCCTCAACCAAACCACGTGAACGATTGCTCTGCTTCATGGTGCAGGATAAATGCGGTGGGAGTCGTGGGCTCTTAGCTCACCGTCTGCAGCGCAGCACATGCTCCGTCAATGCAAACTGGTCTGCAGTTCACAAGTGGACTCTTGGGGTTAACCTTGGGGATGTGCAGTGAGAGGAGCACTGACTGGTCTGAGAGTCTGAGCTCTGCCAAGACTTGTTGGGCCTCAGTTTTCCTCTCCGTGGACTGGGTACAGTTACTTCCCCTAAAGTCCTGAGATTAGGGGAGACCAGATGTCCAGAGCAGCAAGGGTGGGGGGACAATACCGATGTCTCCTCCTGTGGTGTTCGCTAAGTGGACTCACCTGCCTGTTCTTTCTCTGCTCTCTGCTGTGCCCTGCCCAGCCCCCAGCCCCCATACGTCAGGCTGTGGGAGGAAGCCGCCTATGACCAGAGCCTGCCCGACTTCAGTCACATACAGATGAAGGTCATGGGCTACCATGAGGACCCTCGCCCTCTGTTGGCCCCCCAGCCAGGAGCCAGCGATGGAGGACAAGTTGGCCCCCGTGATGCTCAGGGCTGGATGGAGGCTGCGGTGGTCATCCACAGAGGCTCGGATGAGGACGAGGGAGGAAGCAACCCAACTCGGAGCAGGCCTGGGTGAGTGGGCAGAGTGCAGGGATGGGGTGCTGCTCAGTTCCCGTGTGAAGCAGGCAGGGCTGTGGGCCACTCAGGGCCGGTTGGGGACATTTGGGAGTAAAGAGGGCGGGGGGTGTGTGGGGACACCCTGAGAGGCAGCAGGTAGAGCAGACGCACGAGTCTGGCTTAGTCACCCAGGCCTGGGTTCAAATCCCAGCTCCTCACTGTGTAGCTTTGGCAGGTTTCTTACCCTCTTGAGCCTCAGTTTCCCCACGTGGGAGCAATCACTCCCACCTCAGAGGGCTGTTGTGAGAGCTGGGACAGCAAGTTCAAATCTGAACTCTGCTGCTGATGCGCTCTGTGACCTCGGGCTGGGCACTCACGCCCGGCCCGTCCCGGGCTGGTTATGATCCGGGTTTCCATCCATCCAGTTATGCACTCATCCCACCAACATTGCCGGGCACCTACTCCCACCAGACCGCAAAGGCTCCCACCCTGCAGGAGCTCCCAGTCCAATGGGGGAGGTGACGAGGGAACAGAAGGGGACACTGTGCATGTGGTGGAGGCTGAGGGCCCACAGGAGACCCCTGAGTGGCCAGAGAGGCTGGGAAAGAACATGGTTTAGATCATAACATGGGGATCATAACATAATCCCATTTCTTTTTTTTTTTTTTTAATCACAAGTAGGCAGAGAGGCAGGCAGAGAGAGAGAGGGGAGGAAGCAGCCTCCCTGCAGAGCAGAGAGCCCAACGTGGGGCTCAATCCCAGGACCCTGGGATCATGACCTGAGCCGAAGGCAAAGGCTTTAACCCACTGAGCCAACCAGGTGCCCCCCATTTCTTGAGCACCTACTATGTGCTCAATGGACTTTGCACACGCCATGTGCTGTAATCCTCAGAGACAACCATAAGAGAGTACGATTATGCTGTCCCACTTTATAGGGGAGGACACTGAGACCAGACAGGCAAACTCACCTACCCTGGGCTTTGCAGCTAGTGGCTAGAACTGGGACCCAGACATTCTGACTCGGGGCTACCCTGGCTCTCTGGGCCTTTGCTCCTGCAGCCTCCAGGCCTGTCCCCAGGGCCCTGCACCCTTGGCTTCTTTCCAAGATGAGCTGGATGTGGACTCCAGTGAGGGCGGCAGCCCCAACACCTCTCCCCCAGAGGGGGAGGAGCCTCATCGCCCAGCTCGGGAGCCCTGGGCCTGCAAGTGCCAGCTGGACCGCTTCCACGACTTTGCCCTGATCGACGCCCCCATGACAGAGGATGCGCCCCCAGAGAGCCAACAGTGGGCTGCTGCCCTATCCAGCTGTCAGCAGCCATCCCAGAGGACAAAGGAGGAGGAAGAGAAGACTTCAGACACAGGCGCAGAGGAGCCAGAGCAGGAAGAAGAAGACTTGTACTATGGGTTGCCAGACAGTCCTGGGGACCCCCTCCCAGACCAGGAAGTGGGCTTTGAGCCTGATGCCCAGGCCTGAGATGGATCTGCTCCCTGGGTTCTAGCCCCGCACTGCTGCTAACCCCCATGTGACCTCACAGGACCTCACTGTCCCTGTCTGCAAAATGGGGTTATGTGGAGGTTCATGTGAGACAGCGGGCCGGAGAGCACTTGGAGGGTTCAAAGCGGAGCTCAGGGAGGGGATGCTTGCTGTCCGGGACACATTGCTTTCACTGTTCACTTTCTTTGGTAAAGCGTTGAAGGTAAAATACGGTTCCCTGAGAAGATTTGCAGCCGTTGGGGTCCTCAAGAGCCTTTTCTGCCTCCCCCCATAGTGGGCCTCTGAACAGGACCTTCCTTGGTGCTATCCCTGAGGCCCTGATCCTCAGTGAAGGCTCAGGGTGTCTGTTCCTGTGAAGTCCTGTAGCCACCCCCTGATGTCCCCTCCACTGTCCCATACCCAGGTGGATGGTGTGATCTGTCTTCATCAGAGCTAACCACGTCTATCCTGCCCAAATTCGTCCTGTGTTTCCCATCGCCCCAGATCCAAAACTTGCCACGCCTCACCTCTGTGGACCTTCTGACTTTCTCTCTGGTCAGCCCCATGCCACAACCTCTGCTCCTCCAATGCCAAGTCCTCCTTCACTCCTCAAGCCCCTCCCAGGCTTGTCCCCTCCACCAGCATGCCCTTTGCTTCCATGTCTGGCAAATTCATGCTCATCCTTCAAACCCTGGCACAGATGCCCGTCCTCTGAAAGCTTTTCCTAATGCTATCGACTCCCAGGAGGAGGTACTTCTTCTGGCTCCTCTGTGCCACCTGTGGGCCTTGTACATGGTTGGAGGGTGACTGCCAGCTCAAGGCTAGACTTCGGCACTACTCACCTGGGTATCTCCTGTGCTCAGATCAGCAGTCATCGAAGGCTTATAAAACTGACAGAGCCTTTTGCAGATAACGCCCCCGTCCCCCAACTCTTAGACCCCCAGGCCCCTCACCCTCAGGCATTCAAACTTCCAAATGGCCTGCATCGGAGTCACAAAGGCAGGCAGAAAGGCCGCAGAGAAACCCCCTTCCCTGCCAAATATGTCTGCATTGGCTGAGGATGGGGGGTGAGGTGAAGCCTCCTGGCTTGATTAGGTTGGATTCGGGGGCATTTGCTGAGCACCTACTGTGTGCTGAACACAAAGCCAGGACTTTTAGGAGGAGAAAGACATGAACTGATAAGGTTCTTGCCCTCCAAGAGCTTACCATTTACTGAACTTGGTACCTTGTAAGCTAGGAACGGAATACTGAGTGCAAGCCAAGGAGGGCGCAGAGAAGTTAGAAATGGACAGTGGAGTCCAGAGGCAGCCGAGTGACAACCACACCACCCATGGAATGCAGGGACAGGTGGCTCAGGCTGCCTGAGCAGGCCCTGAAGATACATGACTGTACTGCAACTCTTCCGTGTCTCGCTTTGATGAGGCTGATCTGTGCTGTGTCCCCAGCGTGGACGGCAGCGGCTTCGGAGAAGGAGGCAGTGGCACAACTTCCCATGAGGTCTGTGCACTCAGAACTTGCACCATGGCCCACTGGGAGGAGGGGACCTTCATCTAGGCTAGGCTTCTGGGTTAGGGGTGGGGCTGTCGGCCGAGGGAAAGGACTGCCCCATGGGCTGAGTCAGAAGTACATGCCCCTGTGTTGCCTAGGTGGTCCCCATTGCTTAAGCCTCCATTTGGTTTCAGCTCAGGCCCTGGTCTCAGGGTCATGAGATCAAGCCCCACATCTGACTCCGAACTCAGCACAGTACTGAGTCTGTGCCAAGCGCAGAGTCAAGACTCTGCCCCCCATCCCAATAAAATAAATAAGTGAAATTAAAAAAAAATTAAAAAATAATAAGAAGACGTGTACGCCCCTGGAAATACTCCTCTTTCGTTCTGGGTCATTTCTACCTCCCGTAGTGAGGGCTGCCCCCGGGCGCATGCCCTCTGCTGTAACACAGTCCCACCAATGGCCCCGAGACAGTGGACATGGCAAGGTGCCGCGTGTTCCTGTGTCCTGCTTCCTGAGGTCAGGCAGCAGGTGACCTGCATCAGAAGGGCTGTCTGGGCAAACAGCTAAAATAAAGTTTTCAGTGTTTAAAGGGGTCACTTTCACCTGAAAATTCCTTCATGTGAAACCACCTGTTCCCCCTCTGGGCAGGCAAAATAAGGCATCGTGCTTGGCAGGCACTGTGGGCACCCTCTGGAAAGCAAATGTCAAGTAGGGGGCCATGACCCCGCGGGACAGCTGTGTGGTCCAGAAGGCCTGGAGCGGCCCCACATGCCTGAATCACAACTGCACGCCTTCCGCATACCTCCCCAGAGAAGCCAGAGCCCCAGGCTGCCAGCCCGCCAGCAGAGAGACTAACCCAGTCCTAGGGAGCACGGGGCAGGGGAGGGCTGTGCTCGGGACAGCAGGGAGAGATGGTGAGATTCAGGCTTTGCCAGTACTGGCTCCCCCCACATCCCGCTGCCGGATGCTGTATGCCTGGTCTGCCCTGGACAGTCCTGGTTTATACCCACTGTCCCTGCTCACTGACTGTTCATGTACACTTTCACTATCAAAGTCATCCCGCTTGGATGGTAAATGATATAGTCACACTATGCTGTGAACTTGGGCGAGTCTGGTTGCCTCTGGGGCTCCCTCTTTCCTTATGTGCCAAAGGGAGGTGATGGTCCCCTGCCTTGGACTTCCACAGAGTTAGGTAGTGGGGGTATTTGACAGAATCGGTCTGCCGAAGCCGTGCGGGAGAGGGTCGCCGGCTGCTCACCCGAAGTTAATATCGGGTTTATTACTCATGGCAGTGAGAAGGATGGACCTCCACAGGAACTGGGTCTCAGAGGGCGTGAGAAAGGGCTTACCAAGAGGGGATTTGAGGGAGGGTCTAGGGAAGCAGGGCTCTGCTCCATGCTGGATAGTGTCGGGAAGCAGGCTAACTGTGTGGTTAGCCAATGTGATCTAGAAGGAGGGAAGGCTAGGTCCAAGCTGAAGCTGTCGTTGGCCAGCTGGTGTCTACCCAGCCAGGAGATGGCAGCGTGGGCATCGGCGGTGGCTCGGAAACGGTGTTTGTGCTTGCCTCTGCTCTGCTGTGGCTCCCAAGTGGTTGCGATTTGCCAACATGGTCCCAGCATGGCCTTGCCTGATGCTGGTGTTCTGTGGAATTGTTCACATTCAACAGGACACCGAGGCTGAGCTGTGAGGGCTGGGCTGGCCCCTGGCTGACAGGCCGCTGTTCTTCCTTAGGGCTCACTGCCTGGGTGGTGGGGGGGTCCCTCCCCTGGGGCTTGCTAGTGACTATGGGGGACATGGGTTGGGGAGGAGCACATGCTACGGAGTTCGTTTGAAAGGAAGTGTCTGCAGCTCTTTTTTTAAAGTTTGAGGAGCAAGGGGGCAGAGGGGCTCTCATTCCATTCCACTCTGACCTCCCCAAACTCCATGATCTGCTTCACCAGCTGGTTACACCTGAAAACCCACCACTGTGCTCTGTTCCCTTGGCCTTGAGAACTTTCCGTCTCCACCAAGAACATGGGTCTCTGGGATGGCCCCTTTTGTTGGCTGATGAGCTGGGAGGAGGGTGAAGTCTTCCTGCAGGTCCAGGGGTTGGGGGGCGTGGGCTGTATGGACCTGAGGCCGTGGCAAGCCTTGGGATGTCAGCCCTCAGCCCCAGGCTCCAGATCCGTGTACCATGGCAGAAATTCCTGCTCTTTTCACCCTCCGGTCAGGTCAGGGGGACTTCGGAATTTTTCACTGTCTAGGGAGGGAAAGGTTGGGAGGGATAGTCCCTGCCCTTAACTGGGAGAATGGTCCTGGGGGCAGTGAGCTTGGCCTTGCCCTGACTTTGGGCAGCCCCTCCCCAGGCTTCTGTTCCTGGTTGCCATGTGATTAGGTAGAGGCAGACACAATTTCACTTCTATTCCCAGTCCTTAACCACTGTTCCAGTTGCCCTCATGCCTGTTACCCCAGATGGTCCTCACAGCAGCCCTGGGGACAGATCTGTCAACCCTACGCTGTACATGTTTGTTCCAAATCCCAGACTCTGGAGTCAGAAAGACCTGGGCTTGCACTCAGCCTCTGTTCCTTACTGTGTGACTTTGGACGAGTCGCTGCCCCTCTCTGAGCCTCAGTGTCCACATGTGTGCAATGGGAGGATGTTTTGGAGAACTGATGAATGTCACGCTCCTGGCACATAGCAGGTGTTGGAACAGCTTCAACGTGTCCTTCCTTTCCTCTCTGGGTCTCCGCTTCCTCCTCTGTGCAAAGGGGATCCGCTCTGTCCTGCTTACAAATTGGCAGTAGGTGAGTGAATTCCCCAGTAAGATGATGCATGGGAAAACTTACTGCAAAGGGCACAGACGTCTATGGTGTGCCAGCTGTTGGGGGGCAACTAAGCTGACCGCGAGCGGCAGGGAACTAAGGCTCCCACTGCAAGGTACCCCCTGCTGTAGAGGGACTGAGCAGGAGCAGGAACAGGAGGAAGGAGCAGCGTTCTGGCGAGATTGGTGGTGTTCCCGGAGTGAGGAGGAAGAACAGGACCGTGCTGGCCAGGACAGGCAGCAGACAGCGCTCTGGGCACCTGCTGAGTGTCAGGGGCTGTGTGTATATTAGCTCTCTGAATTGGGTTCTCCCTTCAGCCCTGAGAGAATGGCATCCCCTGGGGCAGAGCTAGGATTCACATGTAAGTCCCCTAAGCCTGTGCTCTTTTCGCCCTATGCCATCTGGTCCGCACATATCATGTGGACTCTGCTCACCTGATCTCATGTCAGCCTCAAAACCTGCAAGGCTGGTGTGTTGTCCCCACTTTACAGATGAGGAAATGGGCTCAGAGAAGTAGACGAATGTGCCCATCCTCCCAGAGAAGGGCTGAATGGAAGAGAGGAGGTAGAGCTATGCAACCCTTCCATTCCTGGTATGAATTATCCAGTAGGTCCTGGTCATTCCATCCCCACTGAGGACGGGAGAAAGACACACAGCAATACATCAGGCAGTGAAGTTCCACTGAGCACTTAACTGCTTGTGTCTTTCCCTGTGCTAGTGCTGTGGGCAGACTCGCCCCTGCTCCCACACCTTCCATGACTCCCTATTGCCCACAGCATAAGGACAGATTCCTCAACCTCCTGTTTGAGACCTTTCGTGATCTGCCCCGACTGCCCTTAATGGCTGATTTGTTTGCCCCTTCCCAGGGCAGCAGCCAACCTGATCTTTCCCACCATGCTGCCTGTGTTTAGGCACTTACCTATGCCTGATGCCTTCTGTCCCCTTCTCTATC